CAGGCAGGGGGAGGGGTCACTGAGTACGTTCAGCCTTACTTCCGAGGTAAACAGCAGGTCGTGACTCATATAGAGACCATAGACGCATCAATCGATACCAGTTTTCAGCAGATACGGGAATACCTAGAACGCTACACACACTTGGGGTCTGGGTGGACTGTAGATAAAATCGATAATGTCTATCTAGACATAGCTAACTACGTGCCGTTCAGAGGCGGGTCATACCTAGACTTGCCTCCCTACTATAGGGAAAAACATGCCATGGTCAACGTCAGGAATAGAGGAGACGATTGCTTGAGGTTAGCTATCAGGTCAGCCTTGTTTCCAGCTGACACTAATTCGAACAGGCCTTCTAGTTATCCCCAAGACGATGGGCTCAACTGGGATGGTATAGATGAACCAACCCCCATATCCCAGATAACTAAAATAGAAAAACAGAATAATCTAGCTATAAATGTCTTTGGGCACGAAGGTAACACAACAATAGTGCACAGAGTTGGGGGGGCCCGAACTGGAGGGACAGGGGTGGAACCCCCCTAGCGTTATCAATATATTCATGATCCAGCGAGGTGACAAGTACCACTACACATGGATAAAACACTTTAGCAGGCTGTTGTATGACCAATCGGCACACAGAGAAAAGACCCACTTCTGCGAACGGTGCCTACATGGCTTCACACGAGCTGATTTATTAGAATCCCACCGGGAGGATTGCCAAGGTGTGGGGCAGACGGCTATACGAGTCGACATGCCTAAGGAAGGTGACAATATCCTAAAATTCGGTAACCACAAGAACCAAATGTCTGTGCCTTATATCATATACGCCGACTTTGAAGCCTTGGTTAAACCTGTTGAGGCTGCCGCCGGCGGGGTTGTTGGGGGTACCCCAACCACACTCAAAACACAGGAGCATGAAGCCTGTGGGTTTGGATACATTGTCGTCCGTTGTGATGGGGAAACGAAAGCTCCCGTAGTGTATAGGGGCCCTGACGCGGCTGAAAGGTTTCTAAAGTGTTTGCAGGAGGAAGAAAAAATTATTAGGAATGCCCTGTATACAGTCGCTCCCATGCGTATGACCCGAGCCAACAGATTAGCTCACGCCTGTAGCACTAACTGCCACGTGTGTGACTCACCACTTAACGGTGATTCGGTGAGAGATCACTGCCACATAACCGGTAAGTATAGAGGCGCCGCTCACAGCAGCGATGTAACCTCAAGCTTAGAATCATCCCTAAGACAATAAACATCCCGTGGTCTTTCACAACTTGAGAGGGTACGACTCTCACTTAATCATGCAGGCCATCGCGAAAATCGATGGCAATATAAGCGATGTATCCCCAACAACATGGAGAGATACATCTCCTTCAGTTTAAACGGCCTTAGGTTCATAGATTCAGTACAATTTTTATTGTCGTCATTAGACAGTCTGGTCAAGGCCAACGATACCTTCCCTATTACCGATCGATACACAGACGCCAAGACTAGACCCCTGCTGATGAGGAAGGGTGTGTACCCCTATGAGTACATGGATAGTTGGCCCAAGTTCGCCGAGACCAGACTACCCCCCATCAGAGAATTTTACAGCAATCTGACTGACTCGGAAATATCCCAAGACGATTACTCGCACGCTATTAATGTATGGAATAAACTGGGTTGTAAGAATCTGGGTGACTATCACGACCTGTACTTGAGGACAGATGTACTGCTGTTAGCCGGCGTGTTTGAGACGCGTTTAGGAGGACATGTTTCAAGCAGTATAAACTCGACCCCGCATGGTATTACACCAGCCCAGGTCTGACGTGGGATGCCTCGCTTAAAAAGACCGGAGTTAAGTTGGAATTACTCACAGATTATGACATGCACCTATTCATTGAGAAAGGCTTGCGAGGCGGGATCTCCATGGCAACCAAACGATACGCGAAAGCAAATAATCAATACGTGAAGGGTTACGACCCTAGCAAGCCAACCAATCACATTCTCTACCTCGACGCCAACAACCTGTACGGCTGGGCTATGAGCCATTATCTACCCACAGGGGGATTCGAATGGGTGCCACAGGAGGTCGATGTTATGAGCATCGCACCAGATTCGAATAAAGGTTATATCCTCGAGGTTGACTTGGAATACCCCAAGGCATTACACACATCACACAACAGCTACCCCCTAGCCCCCGAACGTATGAGGGTTAACCCAGACTGGATGTCTGAGTACCAACATAACTTGTTAGGTGGGCGGGTGGCAGACGTTGAAAAACTCGTGCCTAACTTAATGAATAAGACCAAGTACATCGTTCACTATCGCAACCTACAGCTGTACATGTCGTTGGGTATGAGGCTGACCAAAATACACAGGGTGCTCGTGTTCAACCAGAGCCCATGGATGGAGCCTTACATCAGAATGAACACAGACCTCCGAAAGCTTGCCACCAGTGACTTTGAGAAAAATCTCTACAAGCTCATGAACAACTCGGTGTTTGGTAAGACTATGGAGAACCTTAGGAAACGCGTGACCGTGAAGCTGGTTAGGTCGAATGAGGAAGACAAGCTCAGGAGACTGATAGCCATCCGGCATTCAACCGTAGTAAAATATTCACCGATGACCTAGTTGCCCTACACATGAAGAAAAGCCAGATAAAATTCAACCGGCCTGTTTACGTGGGGATGAGCATCCTCGATTTATCCAAACACCTGATGTACGACTTTTACTACAACGAGCTTAAGAAACAGTACGACGACAGGTGTGAAGTGCTGTACACTGATACAGATTCCCTGCTGATGGAGATTCGAACCGAGGGCGGTAATGCGAGGACATGAAAAAACACCTCGATTTGTATGACACCAGCGACTACCCCAAGGACCATGCCATACACAGTACGGTAAATAAAAAGGTCCTAGGTAAGATGAAGGATGAGTGTGCCGGCACACCCATAGCCGAGTACATAGGTTTGAGGCCTAAGATGTACTCCATACTGAAAGCTGACAATGGTGAGATCCGGAAGGCTAAGGGTGTTAAGAAGTACGTGGTTAAACAACACATCAAACACGCCAGATTCAAGGAAGCCCTGTTCAAGGCCCGTACCTTTAGGCATAAAATGAACACACTTAGAAGTGATGGGCATAGGATATACGGACTGACAATAAACAAGACGTCCCTGTCGCCTATGGACACTAAACGTTGGATAGCTATTGATGGGATAAAACGTGCAGCGCTGCACGGGCATGAGAAAATTGAACCAAGAACATAGGTGTATGTAGGTGACATGTCACGGAACCAGAGAAAGTTTGAGGCTATTTACTATAGCCCACGTGGGTACTGGAAAGGAGCTAGCGCTGTAGATAAGCTGGCTAAAATGGCGCGAGTACCCCCGGAGGAAGCCAAAGCGTGGCTTGAAAAACAAGCCCTGTGGCAGATCTATTTACCGGCACCACGCTACCTGCCTAGAAGGAGGTTCGGTATTAACATACCTAATAGCGTTCACCGGGCAGACCTACTGTTCCTACCCCACGACAAGAGGTACAAGTATGCCTTAACCATAGTGGATGTAGCCAGTCGCTACAAGGAAGCCGAGCCCTTGACCACGAAAGATTCTGCCCAGGTAGCCAGAGGATTCGAACGCATATACAAACGCAGTCCGCTGACGTGGCCAACAGAGCTGCAAGTTGACCCCGGGCGGGAGTTCATGGGAAGCCGTGTCACAACTGCTAACCAAACACGATACAAAGGTCAGGCGTGGCACGGCTGGAGCCCATCGCAGCCAAGCCATAGTTGAGAGATTCAATAGGACTTTGGCTGAGCGCTTATTTGGGCATCAGTATGCTAGGGAGATGGCCACCCCGGGAAAACGATCGACTGAATGGGTATCACGGCTCCCTAAGGTGGTGTCGGCAATCAACCATGAAGTCACCCGGCTCACTGATAAGAAACCGGCAGACGCTATCAAACTAAAATCAATAGTTGCAGAGTCGGCTGCTCCATTGCGTGGAAAAGAGAAACAGATACCAGATAGGGCCCTAGTTAGGTATCTATACCAGCCGGGGGAACATGAGGGTGATAGCCGTAGGCGAGCCACCGATCCTATATGGTCAGTCAAAACTTACAACATAGATAAAGTGGACATGAAAGCCGACGAGCCTAACTTGTACTACTTGAGGGATGGGCCAGGTAGGGGGTTTGTAAGAGCGGAATTATTTATCGTACCGTACGGTACAGTGTTACCTCCAGTCAACACGGCATAGCGGCATCCCAGGATAGACCCGTTAAACCAACCAACTTCAACCATGTCCCCGGTAGCTCAGTAGCACGTTTGTGAGGTATACATGTGCCGTTCGTACCCCGCTAGCGTCCCAAACTTTTTTATAGTAGGGGTAATGGTAGCAAGAGCTAAGGGTCCGACCAAAGCCTTATCTGTGAAATAAGGCTTTGCAGAGGCTTTGGTTGAAAGTGATCCAGAACCCCCATTGTATATACTACTTAATAATTTACATGAATAAATTCAACATATACTTAGTAAAATGCCTAAATATACAATTCACGGCATAATATTGATCAAAGCCTATAGATAACAAAGGATATAAGCCAGCGAAGGGACCCAAGGTATCCACCCAACCGTCCGCTAGGGCGATGAAGGAGAGAGTGACAAGAGCATGCCTATGTATTGGTCACGTGGGACACAGTGGCAGGAAAGGTGAAGGGAGGTAACCCAATTGGGTGAGTGATTTTACATTTGCTTCCGGGAGCAAAGGGATTCAAGTTTCCACGTACCGTTCGGAGGAAAAGAGAGAGATATTGCACGAGTCAGGAAAAATCTATTATTTGTGCTTGCCCTATGTCAAATTCATGTATGAAAGCTGTTTCATTTTTTTTAAGTATCTGAATGATTGGTAAGTAAGCACAAATGGTCAATAGTGATTGTTCAAACATTAAAAAAGCCACAACTATGAAGCTCACATTCCTCACGGTTTTCGTGACATGGCTGTGCCAAGTTCTGAGAGATTCCATACCTATCATAAGGGAGAGCTCCGAGATCTGGTTGTTGCACAAATTCAGGCGTCGAAGTGAGCTGAGCTTATACAGAGCCTCAGGTACCCGAGGCAAATCATTGTAGGACAAGTCAATATCTGGAAAATAAACACAGCATCTACCAACATGAAAGTTTAAATGATTCATTAACAAACAGTGGTTTCAAGGACACCACATATTACACCGACGCTTCTAATTTTCTCATGCTATTGCTATCAATACCTGGAACAAGCATCGATATTGTTGGAACACCTAAGATTAACAGTGAGTAAGTGAGTTTAGTTTTACGCCTCACTCAGCAATATTCCAGCTATATGGCGTCAGTCTGTAAATAATCGAGTCTGGACCAGACAATCCAATGATCAACAGCATTAGCATCGACCTAAGATTAACAAGAAGACAGTCATCAATATCCCCCACAATGGTAAAAATACTCCTTATGGATATGTCAACTAGTTATGACTGTCAAATGTACGGTTTGATGTACCTCAGTAATGTTGAGCGGTTCTGTTGATTTATGTCATTAGGTTCTTGGATACCCACAAAGTGGAAAGAGAGTATTGAAAGGTGTTTAACTTCTGTCCGGAAAGGATCACTACCACCAATTTCAGTCAAAGTCATCACTACCACCAATTTCAGTCAAAGTCAAACTTGTTGCCATAGAAATGTCAAAATGCTATAAATTGTATATTTCTAATACTTATCCTATCTCACGGTACGCACTTCTTTCTCTTACTTTGACCATGTACTGGAAATGTGCTGTAAGCAGAGTTGAACAAATCTTCTGGCCTCTCTCCCATCCGATCACCCCCACCGCTCCCATTCCCGGACACCACAGCAATCCTTGGACTGACTGACTGAGTTTGGTTTTACGCCGCTTTTAGCAATATTCCAGCAACATCACGGCGGGGTCACCAGAAATGGGCTTCACACATTGTACCCATGTGGGGATTCGAACCCGGGTCTTCGGCATGACGAGCCAATGCTTTAACCATTAGGCTACCCCACCGCCCCCGCAATCCTTGGAAAACATGCAGGGTTCTCAGATCGGTCACATGACACCCTTCTCTAGCCATTCTCGGAGCACGGAATCCATCGCGTGAAATAGGATAAGTATTATAAAAGTACATTTTATAGTTAAAATTTACAAATTTTTAAAACTTAAAACAAAAGGACGCAGTTTGGCAAGTAGACCCCGGCTCTCAGCGATTTATCAGAAGACCCCAGTGAATTATAAAGTCTAAGACCTTAATCTGGACAGCCTCTGCTTCGAAACCATCCCCCTCGATCAGATGCAGGACGGCGGTGAAAGGGAAAACGGCCCGGTGCTCAACTCGTTTAACATTCAGTACCAATCATCATAAGATGAGAAAGGAACTAAGGAGCGGAACGCCTCGAAAACCCGTAGGAATTTGGAAAACAACACTTCACTGACGTAATTGCTTGTAAGAGAAGAGGCCAGCAAGTGGAGGGTCGCTCCCCTCTGCATGAAGAACAAGACTGACCTCACAGTCTATAAAGTCATGGGTATGATAGTACTATAATGCCCAAGCTAGGTGAGGGTGATCTATGCCCAAGATAACATCGATATCTTTTATTGAACTGCAAGGTAGCATGATCATCGCGGAGAGGACTGCTCCTTAATGTGCGTTACCAGGCTGACGAAAGTTGCTGTGCTAGCACCAACGGGCTGAACTGGTGTAGGCCCTCCACATCAGTGATGGACAGATCTCAGAGACAGTGATGCAGAAACAACACTCCATGATAGCGTTAAGAGAATAGTTGCTGTGGAGCGCCATCGTAGAAGCCAAGGATCGTGTTTCATGAGGATTCTCAGCAGCAGGTGGCGGGAGATCAGCATAGATGTAGGTGCTTAAGATGCTAGAACGCATCCAGAACAAAAGGGTTATACGTGAGACTTCTGCTGTCGAAGCTGTAGGGATGAATAGTCTCTTGCGTAGCCTACGTTGGTCTTTAGATGCAGCCAGATACACACGTAATGCCCTCATCAAGCAAAGTGAGAGATCTTCAGTATCTTCGGGGCCCAAGATCGTGGACAGCGGTGGAATGATGAACAGTTTGTCTGGCTGTCCAGGTACTTCATTCTTGGCAATGAAGTCCCATCTTAGGCCAAGAAAGACTCTGCCATGCTTCTTCCATTCAAAACGCACTAAGTTAACATCCAAGGCATATAATTCCGAGATACGAGCAGTGGTCGCAAGGGCCAATAGGAAGAAAGTCTTGAAAGTAACATGCTCAAAATCTTTCACCCCCAGAGGCTCGTACGCATTTGAGGCGAGGTGTCTGAGGACAACAGACAGGTCCCAGGCCGGCGGCCGGAATTGGCTACACTGGTCGGCTAGTTTATATGAACATAGTAAAGACTGGAGTTCAAGAACAATAGAGACTTTAATACCCAAGGCTGTGGCTATTACAGTATTGATGGCTGTGAGATATGTAGCCAATGTAGAACCCTTCAATTTTCTTGCAATACTTAATTGCTGCAAATACTTGTCAACTACTTGAGATGATACTGTGGTAGGGGGAAGTGATGTCCTTCATCTTGCAATTAGCCTCAAATTTCTTTCATTTATCATCGTAGAGGGTTCGTGTAGAGGTACGATGAGCTGTGGTAATAGAAAGTGCTGCAAATACTTGTCAACTACTTGAGGTGATACTGTGGTAGGGGAAGTGATGCCCTTCATCTTGCAATAAGCATCAAATTTCTTCCATTTATCACCGTACAGGGCTCGTGTAGAGGTACGATGAGCTGTAGTAATAGCCGTAGCCACTTGCTTTGAGTAGTCCTCCTCAAGGATTTATGCAGATGCACCATATGTGTAGATGGAGCGTCTGTGGAGACCATTGGAGCTGATCTGAGTGTGGTTGGATCAGGACATTGTCTTGGTCGGGAAGCAGCACTGGGTTTGGATCGGGCGAGGTCAACAAAGTTGATCGTAACTTGAGTAGTACTCGAGGAAGAAAGGCAGTGGTTGAAACTCATACGCATTGAGGCCTTCCCAGGGTAATGCCAGCGCACCGTGTTCCCACACCAGGGGATCTGGGATCGGAGACACAAACCTAGGTAGTTGAGTGTTGAAACGGGTTGGAAACAGGTCCACCGTCGGGCTTGAAATCAGGAAGCAGTGAATCTTGAAAATCTGAAGATGCAGCTTCCACTCTATCGGGGATGGCCGAGCTGATCGGGCAGCAAATCTGCAATGACGTTCTTTACCCCTGGTATGTGGTTTGCTCTGACTGTGATGTTCAGCAAGTCTACAAGCCGGAAAAACTGCTGAGCCCAATGAAGTAGTTGTGGTGAACCCGTGGATCCCATCTGGTTGATGTACTAACCACTGTGGCATTGTCCAATCGTACTAGTAGGTTGGGCGCATGAAGAAATTGTAGATCTGACAGGACTGATCTGCGAGAGACCACAGCTCCACCACTTGAAGATCTTGCAGATGAGCTCCCAAACCCTGTAGAGAGCCGTCTACAAACAGTTGATAAGTGGGAGCGAACGGCCTCACAGAGACTCCTCGGCAGACGTTGGATTCTACCAGGAACCATCGAAGATTGTGATGGAGCGCCGGAGGCAGTAGAATCAGCGCATTGGGATCGCCAAACCTGATGTAAACAGTTGTAACGGACAAAGTTGCAGTCGTCCCCTGATAGTAAGAGCTTAGGCCGAAAACCGTAGACCAAAGAGCTCTTGCCACTGACGGAGAATTCTGGGTTGAGTCAGTGCTAGAGGAACAAGATGCTGAATCTTGAGAAACAGGCCTTGGGGAACAAACATCTTGCCGAGCCCAGAATTGAACACAGCCCTGATGAAATGGAGACGAAGGGTCGGAACCAGGTCCGATTTCTTTAAATTGACGAACCATCCTAATTGGCGAAGAAGCCTGGCGAACTGCATGTGTAGGAGCAGGATCAGCTGAGCTCTCTGAGCCTGTATGCAGTCGTCAATGTAGGCTTCGAAGACAATTCCTCTGTGGTGAAGAAACCGGGAGATGGGCTTCGTAACACGGGTGAATAACCATGGGGCCATGGAAATTCCAAATGGGAGGACTCTCCACTGGTAGTGGATGCCCTCGTAAATGAAATGGCACATGGAGATAAGCATCTTGAAGATCCATGATTATCCTATAGTCTCCTGGCTTGATGATGGTGCGAAGGAGAGCTATAGAGACCATCCTGAAGTGGGGAGGTTGATGTAGATAAGTTGTGTTGAAGAGTTTCATGTTGAAGATTAGTCTGAGCTTGTTTGAATCTTTCTTCGGAACCAGGAAAATTGGAGAATAGAACCTGGGAGTGTCGGGAGAGGGGCTGAGTGACTCTATCGCAAGTTTCTGTAGTAAAGTGTCTATTATTGTGGTTCGTAGAACTGCTGTCTGAACTGCTGGGTACGTTCTTTGAACCTGATGCAATGTCATGGGTGGAGAGCCTACAATGGGAAGTTTGTAGCCCGTGGAGAGAGTTGTCTGGATGAAAGGGTCTCCCAAAATCGACCGGTTTGGTGCACAAACAGCAAGTCTTCCGCCGACTGGAGAATCTTGACCCGGCACAACTGGAGGCGGAAGGTCCCAATCATGCAGTGATGTCATCTCGTCACTGTTTAGTGAATCCGGCCACATAAAGCCTGGTCTGGCTTGATGGCTCCTTGGGAGCCGGTGGGAGGTCGCTGCTGCCTTCTGGGACGACCTTGGAAGGAGGATCAACCACGAAAAGAGGCCCAAGACAGATTCCTAGGAACATAGTGTGCTGGAGGTCGCTGATGCATAGAATCTTCAACATGCATCCAATGAAACTTTAAGAGTTCAAATCTGTAGTTGCCTTGGCCCACCTTGGTGTCAATATTTCTAATTGCCAATATTTCTATTAAGTCTGACCAGACCAAAGGTCTGTCTTAAACTGGTCCTTCCAGGAACACAAATTAAGGGGACCTCTGGTTTTGAATTGCTCATGAATAAGCACCATGGCTCCCCTGATGTAGGCTTGTTGAGGAGAGGAGGCGTGGACGACGGACATGGAGACAGCCTCAGACACCGTAAGAATCATATTGATGGGTGCGGACCGATGAGTCTAAATGCGACAA